ATATTCCAAAACTACTGAATGGAGAGACGTGGAAAAAAGCAGTAGCATTGTCAGGGCAACAATGAGGAGGAATCCGAGGCAACCGACCACTACAGGAAGGCACGACTTGAATTTGCGATGTTGGGTTTGGGATGAGATTGAACGAAATTCAGCCTGTATTACCGATTAGCCTACAGTCCAATATTCTCATTAAGGTCGTACTTCTCGATCAAAAAAATGTTAGTTTGGAAGGCCCCGATGGTTACAACTACTACCGACATGACTTGCGAAAGAGCCGATCAACTCTAGTCGTCGCAATTCTGGAGGAGGAAGTGTCATGGTACGGTGTGCCTCCTGCAAAGAAGTCGGGCTGGTGTTTGCTGTCTTAACCTCCAGAATGGATTTCAGGGATCTTCAGGAAGTCTTACTGTGGCACCTGGTCCCATTTCTGAGCCGGCGACATGGTCCTAACTACGTTTTTCAACAGGATAGTTCTGTGTCCACGTTAGTCATTCCGCGGAAGGCTGGTTCCTTGCCCAAAATTTTGAAGTTCTGACATGGCCAGCTTGCAGCCCCGATCTGAACCCGATGGAGAATCTGTGGGGCACCATTGTTTGAAAGATTTATGCGAACAACCGTCAGTTCCAGACGATAGAAGGGCTCAAGCAGGCAGTACTCGAATATTGGACTGATATCTCCAGCAAGGTCTTTCGAAACCTCGTCTCGAGTATGCCGTGTAGGCTATTCGATGTTGAGTATGCCGTGCAGGCTATTCGATGTTGGGCTGGAACAAGGAAAACCCATCGACTACCAAATTTTTTTCGTCGTTACTAATGATAATTTTCTCAAACTCTCAGAATGATCTTGTACTTATGAAACGACGGTGCAAAATTCAAAAAGTATTCATAAAAATGTTGTGGTAGAAGTTGATTAAGAAAACATCCGTGCGTGGAGGTTATTCAGTGTGGTGAATCTGACAAGTGTGCTCGAAACTTATCTGCTTGGCTGCTTATCTTGTAAACACCGGATTTGAGGGTGATCTTATACTCATGAGACGAATTGTAGACCTCACAAATAGGCGTGTTGTTGGCTCATTATTGAACTTGCACTATAATCAATGCAGCTGTCACAATTTATGCACTCAACTATTATTTCCTTGAGCTTCACACAAGTTGCAATGGAAGAAGATAGTGGGAACTTTCTGAGTACCGATATCGTTGCTTCCCCCGGTTTAGAATGTGAACCAACCAACCATGCATCCGTTCTAGAGGGGTGGCACACTTCAGGCACGGATTTTCACGGCAAGCAGCAGTGGTTCAGCAACAATTGCCATATCTTCCACTTGAAACTGGAGTACGCGGTAATATATCAAGGGCACAGTTAAGATCTGAGTAATAGGAAACTGATCGACCACACGTATCCAGATCTACATTATCACATTTACCGGTGCTTATTTCGGGAGTGCGATACGAAAAAAAAACAGCTTCAAATCTTTTTTAGCACCGATATCAGTTAATTATAAAACATCAAATGATCAAGCAAACAGTTTGCAGTTTTGTAGCGCGCGTGGTTGTGGGGAGGAAGAAGGACACTCGTAAAATCTCACTCTTCCCCCCCCCTTCTCCCATCTTTGTCGCAGTATTAATCTTATGCTTGAATACTAATGAAAAGTAGAACAAAAATCTTCTGGAAAATCCTTCTAATGATTTCCTCACAGGTTCCTGGCTTTGGTGTTGCTGGCGGCAACACTCTTCGGCAGTTCAATCTGATCCTTATACAACCTGTACAAAATAGTAGGTTCCAACGATTAGTTCTTGATTTTTTCTTACAAACATCCTCTCTTCTAAAGATTTATTTCTATTAAACTTCATTGCAGATAAGGAAGTTATCGACGTACTAACGAGCAGAAAAGAGGATAAAGAAGCTGTAGAGTTTCTTCGATCAATCGCCACTGCTTACTAGTTTTCAAATTATATCATATAATATCGCAGAATAATCGAGCAATATTGGTACTATTACATATGCTTTTTTATTTGTTCAAAATCATTGTACAGGGTGCGCCACAAATATGGAGAAGAATTAATTGCAGAAAAGTTATTAGAACAGAAGAATTTTATTAGGAGCAACACCAGTGCGTTATCAAGCGAAGGCTTCCCTCCCCAGTATGGACTATATTCAGCAGCCCATCGAATTGTGGTCCGAGAAATTCGTAGGAAGATTGGAAGCTGGAGTAAAGCGCGAACGTTTTCTCAGCACCATTCTTGACCTTCTCCCATTCGTGAGCAAGTGCGCTGTTGTTTTTAAAAAAAGTATTTGACCCTCAGTTGCATCCTTTCAGGAGGACCCTTTTTAGAGAGGTTCTAGTTAAATTTTGCTCTTTTCTCGACCGAAATTGACGATATCGCTTTGTTGGTAAAGATTCTAGCCCAAACCATCATGAAAAAGGGAAAGTGGCTATGAGAGGCAATCTGAATCTTTTCAGCTGCTTCAGCACTCGTAGTGTGAATTATACGTATACTCTGGGATCTCAACATTTGTTCCACGCTGAGCCCCTTAGTCTGAAAAAAGTCTATCGAAGCGCGTTCCGCGCGCAAGTAGCTCACGGCATTTGTTTTTTCTTTCCAACTTCTTCTCTTCAAGCAACTTCCATGGCTTTCAAATCTTATCGAGATGCAGTTGTATTTACTCGGGGTAAACTCTTCTTTGCGGAGTAGAATATACGAACAAATCAACATCATCCTTCTGTCTTTTCCGCAGGTTCGCAGCGTACTCCTTCGCAAGCAACTGTTTTCAGAAAAAGGGTCGTATGTGGGGCGAGACGACCGTTTTGAAGTTTGTTGTTGACCTGTCTAAGCATCGCGAATCAAGAGGCTGCCATGTGGGAAATATTTAAAGGTGAAGCGATCCCGGAAAAGGAGTCACCAAATGTGCTCAAAGACCGAGCTGTTGGTGGATGTCTGCGAGGCTCCACCACCGTTTTCCGAAATCTAACTAATTGAGAGCAACAAAGTAAATTTGTGGGCTGGGGTATATCATAAACATAAGGGAAGGTGCAGATCTGGAGAGGCCGTCCAAACAAGGAAATTACAGAAGTCTCAAAAGTTGTTACCAAACTTATGGCGCACCCTGTAAATGCTTTACATAAGTGGTGTGTATATGCGGCTAGTGCAAGTAGCTGGTGTGTTCCGATCGCTTTTTAATCAGGATTAATCACGAACAATCGAATTCAACTGTGTCATTTTCTAGTCAACTGTCTTGCATACTATAGTACATTCAATGATTTTGATAGTTTTTTTCAAACAAAAAAATGTGTGCAACGTTGTTGAGACATCGAAGATTTTGCAGATGCTATAATCCGCAAATAGGCAAGAACGAAAAATTATTACGGTACGGCCATGAATCTGGCTCTGGTATGGGTACATTGGTGCGAACGGAGATTCGCACGGCGAAGTTCGTGGTGATTCGGACGACTCTGGCGTTTATCATCAAGACGTAAAGCATTTACACAGAATATCGACGAGTTCCAGAGTTGAAGCTGCTCACGAGCAAGCATATCTATTTGACCGACATAGTAGTATATATATTATATATAATATAGTATATGTATATAGATATAGGTACATATATAATCAGTGAGGAATCATTCGCCGTGCAATTCGTCGCGTGCGTCTCCGGACGCACCAATTTCTGTCCCCATCTGGCTTGAGCGATAGCGATGCGATCCCGTCCCCTGCCACATCACCTGCCCCGTGTTTCTGTTCAAGGTCCCTTTTTGATGCGTCGTATATGTGACGGGTAAAGATTGTGTATTCAAATAGGGTTATGCCATGAGACAACTGCCTTGTTTAAGATTTCCTGCTCTCTATACATTTCATTCTACGATAAGTTTTCGTAAGACTAACAGGCCAAACTGAACTCTCGTTACTGTGCAAATTAGATGAACCTTCGGGACCGAATTGAGATGTTTGCGATCTCTACGCTATCTAACAATAGATCGAGTCAGGGACTTACTTCCCGTGGAGGCGTGCATGGCATGCTTTCCAGAGATTATGTTACGCCAATCGTGAGACTTTTACACAGACTCGTAACACATTGACCTTCCGTATGAAAGACTCTTCAGGTGGTTCACAACCAGGTGCAGGAAAAGAATGCGTCTTTGAACTTGTACTACCTGTGCACCGTCTCTCCAAAATCAAGATTAGTTCCTTGTGATTGAAAGTAGTGCCACAAATTTCTGAGCTGAATAGCTGCCGGAGTCAATATATAAGAAGATGAGTCTTTGGTGAGAAAAATATGGAATGTGTTCTGTTGCAGCATCACATTTCATGATTAAACAGCAACTTCAAATGTAGCAACAGGATGGAAAATACACTACTTCAACACCCACGCCGCCAGAACGGGTCACCTTTTTACGCGACCGACCTCGGTAGTACAAGCCCTCACATCTGGTGCCTCACCACACCAATTCTGTACGGTGGCCCCTGTACGGACAGCCTTCAGAGCCAAGGGGCCCCCAAATGAAGAAGGTTCCGAGCCTTGCCCCGGCACCCCAGCCAGAGTATTCGTGACGGGGATCCCTGCTCCCGGTACAGGGACCGCTGTGAGAACGGGCAACTTATGCTACTTCTCAGTCACAACCAGGGTGCAGTACCTAATCTACTTCCCATGAGACGTACAAAAGTAAGAAGCACTGAATTTTCACTGTAACAAGTTGGCCTGCGCACGATGCCGTGCGCGTCTCATGGCTTCTGATAAATGAATTTTCTTGAGAATAACCTGGAGCGTAACCGCTTTAGCAACACAATATGTTGATGCACAATTATTGCGGATTGCGGTAGTTCTGCTAGTAATCTATGAACTCTTTTACCTCAACCTACTTTTAAGGGGCGTGGAGTATCGAGGCGAAACTGCTATAGAAACTATTTTCATTGAAGTATCTCATTAATGAAAAGGAGTTATTCGCACTGGTAATACTGGGGACTCCTAACAGCATGTGGTACAGCAAGACATCTAGCTAAGAAGTGCGCGGGCGAGACAACTAACTAAGAACGGTAGCGCACTGTAAGCGGTTAGGGATTCCATCATATCCGACTCACAACATAGAAAGAGCATAGACAGGATCACGTCGAAACGGCAGAATCCGCATAAAATCTTCCCAAAAAAAGCCTTCCATCTGGTGGAGTTCTTCAGGCCCGAAGTTGTACCCTTCTGTGGCCAGAATAGCAAATTAGAATAAATACTTGTAATATTTTATTTTATGAATTCTACCTTCACTTTGACTTGCCATAGGATTACAACGAGGTCATCTGACTGATTTATACTCTCCAAGGAATAAAACTCTTGTTTCTTGTGGGGGTCATCTCACTGATTTTATACTCTCCAAGGAATAGAACTCTTGTTTCTTGTTAATCTTGTGTACAAAGGCGTGATTATGAACTCTGCGGGTGCTTGAAAATTATGGGAAGCCTGGTCCATTACAATGAAAAGTGAAGCTCATGAAATTCTTTTTTCCGGTAATAATAGCTATGTGTGCTCTTAGGTATTTAACTGTTTATTTTAGCATTTATAACCTAGCAAGTATGAAGGAAGCATAAAGCTGCTCAATCTAATCTTTTCCATATTTACCTGCCAGGTGGCGGTACTTCCTGCCCAATCCCCACGGCAAGCGGCAGTAGTTCCGTGGCGGCTACCGTGTTCTTCCGCTGGAAATTCAAATTTTCTTTTTAGCGCGCAGACGAACGCGGCCAGCGCGACGCGATTTTCGTGGAGAAGACACCACACCCTCACCTGCCTGGAGGAAGATCATATCTTCTTGGCAGTTTGCAAGTGCTGTAGTTTTGCAATAGAGTTATCGGTGCTAGCTTTGAAGGGGGGGGGGGGAGAGGAGGGGACTTTTGAGTATGAATTAGACTTAATCACTTTTCTCAAAAAGTTCTTATGCACTGCAACTTATTTTGTACTCATTCATATTTATTACTGAATTAGGGATGATTAACTCCCATCTTGTCCATTATAGGTAAAACTTTATTACGCCGCACTCACTACTGTTCAATCTGACAGCGGGTCATAAAAGACTTTTTCGCTATCTTTTTTCTGAACATCATGAGCATTATTTTTTCTTATCCTAATGCATTTACAACAATAAAGTTAAAGTTATCTGTCACTATGGCAACTTCAGAGGAACGTTTGGAATTCATTCAAAGAATTTCATATATTCTTTATATTTTATTCATATTTAATAAACAATTTTTCATGTTTTTTTTCTTTCACATGTTCCTTGAAAGCATGTGATAGCATAACATGCCTAACAGCAATGGTTCCCGCGCCTGATCGCTGTAGATTGTTCCTAAACGATTTCAGAAATGGACACAAAAATGCTTCATGAAGCGGTTCCTCATAAACTACGCCGTTCTGACCATGAAATACGCCTGTCTGACAAGACGAACAGGATGCAAGTGGCTGAATCTCTTCGGCTTCGTCTCCATCGGTAGGACTTACGAGATATAGTGACTGGAGATGAGAGCTGGGTGCTTCTCCTGTACCATGCACGTGAGCGCCACTGGATTGCGTTAGGAGAAAAGCCACCTACGGAGCCTAAAGCAGACTCCATGAAAAAAGGTTTTATTGTATTGCTGGTGGGACTGCGGTGGAATTATCTGCTAGGAGCAGCTAGACAGTGGTACTGCAGTGACGGCCACAGTCTACGCTAACCAGTTCCAAAAAGTGGCCGACACAATGCGGGAGTTACCCGAAAAGACTTAATATCTTCCTACTTCACGATAACGCAAGCTCGCATGTGGTCAACGAGACGCGTCAAAATATTATGGAACTCGGATGGGATGTACAGCCGCATCCGGCTTACCCACCATACCCAGCCCCTCTGGTCATCCCCTATTCAGAGCACTGAAGCACCATCTGAGAGACTAAAAATTCGATGATAATCGTCAACTCAAAAATGAAAT